GTTGTATCTCCTCCGTGCCAGCATCCACTTGGCTGGCGATTTGCACAAATTTAATGAGATAATCGGCCGTTTGCTCTGCTTGCGACTTGGTCAAACGCTGCCTGGACATGGACTGGATGAGGACGAACAGAAGATCTTGGACATAGATCATGTTTCGGCGCGGATTGCTCAGGCTAAAGTGCAGCGGCATCGTCTGTCCCTCTTCCAGTTTCAGCTCAAAGTTTTTCTCATCCTCTGGCTTGAAGGTGAGCTGAAAGCCCTGCGGTTCCTCGGCGGTTAGTACCTTTCGAAGTTCCTTCAGAAGCGGCCATTTCTGGGCAATCGCAGCGGGAAGTTTCTTGGGTTTCTCCTCCTCGCTGTCGCTGCCGCTGCCTGGCAGCCAGCTCTTCATGTAGTCATGATATTTCTCCAAATGTCCATCGTACAGCTGCAGCACCTGCTCCGGCTGGCTGTGGTAGTGGAAGAGCATGATAAAGACCTGCTCCACATAGGCATCGTACGGCGCCTCAATGTCCACGCCCTGCAGCAGCAGTGGCATCATCTTGCTGAGCATCAGCACCTCCACATACGACTGCACTGTCTGGCCGGCCTTGATTTGGGCAAACAGTTTGCGTATATTCTCGCTGCTAATGGCTTCTGTTGCTGCCGCATCCAGTTCCGGCAGCTTGATCTTGCGCCAGTCGAGGCACAGAATGGTCAGCAGAATGCTCACTACATTCTCCACAGTCTCAGCATCGAAGCCAATGAGCGACTCCAGCCAGATGTTGATCTCGTTGCTGCAGGAGTCAAACAGTCCCGTGTTGAGGAAGAGGCGAGTCAAGATGTTGCCAGCCTCTGCCTTAATGGCCACATCCTCCAGCATATAGGCCTTGATGAACGAGCGGAAGACCTTGCCAAAGAGCTTCTCCTGGGGATTCAGGGACATCGGGAACAGCAGCAAGATCGTCTTGATTGACTTCAGTTCCAGTTGAACTTTGACGAGCTCTTGGGGCTGATCCACGGCATCGAAGTCGGTCTCGTACAGCGGCCGCAAAACCTCCAAATAATCGAGAATTTTACTTGTTTTGTTCACAAATGCTCGATTCTCCTTGCACATGAGCAGCACCAGATCCAGGGTGATGGACAGGCACTCCAGGACATTCACTTCCGGCTGATTCTGCTGCTTGATAGCCAGATAGAGGGAGTACAGGATCGACTCGATGGTGGGAAAGTGCACCATCAGATGGTTCAACAGATCAAATTTGAATTTTCGCATCGAGTTGCCTGCCTTTTTCGACTGCTCCCTGATGGCAATGGCGCCCACATAGTTGCTGTACTGCTTCATCATGGCGAGTAGCAATCGCAGCACGGCCAGACGCAGCTTGAAGTCCTGATTGTTCAACATGTTCTTGCCCGTAATGTGGAGTAGCCCCTCAATGGGCAGACACAGTTCCTTGATCCAAAAACCGAGATCGGTCAGTGTCATCTTGTTGAATGCGGTCGACAGGGAGCTGGGTGGCACTGCGTCTATGATCTGGGCCAGAAAGAGCGCCACCTGGGGTACATCGTTCATCGACACCCTTGCGGGGCTCATCAGGCAGGAGAAGTTTCGCACCGTATTGCGCCCCAGATCGGGACACGCTGTCAGGGTCTTGATGACCAGCTCCGTTTTGCGTGGATTGCTGTAGGGTCTGTAGAGCGAGCCCAGCACCTTGCCCTGCAGCTTGTTCTGCTTCTGGCGGTAGTGGGTCATGGCGTCGAAGCAGATTCCATGCTTGCGGGAGGTGAGCAAGAGCAGGAGCAGCTCATGGACAGCAGCAGAAACCGATTCGGCTTCCTGTTCGTTGGGCGTTCTCTTCGATTGCTTCTTGCCGAAGAGAGCTGGCAGGCCGTTTGGGCCCTCCCAGTCGTAGAGGCGACGCAGGGACTTGCAGCACTCCAGATCAAAGACCAAAACCTTTTTCGTCTTTTGTATGTCGGGGTTTTCCAGCACATATTGCCTGAGTGCATTTAGCACCACGCAAACGGTGACATGGTCGTCATAGACCAATCCTTTGGCCAGAACTCCAATCAACTGACCCCGATCCAGAATGTTCCTTATAAGCAATGTATTGCCTTCGACCAGAAAGGCCAAAATAAAGTGAATGTACGCCTTGCGGACGGTCTCCTCGTTCTGGTAGTCGTTCTTAGCGTGTGACAACATCTGGTGCATGACGCTCACATTCGAGAGGATGTCATAGGAGTTTAGAACCTGACGTCCCAGCTGCGGCTCCACGCACACAATCGCCGTGAGCAGCTTGAGCGCGTTGCGGCGATGGCTTGGCCGCGACGACTGCAGCAAGTTCTCCAGCACTCCGCCATGGGCTTTCAGAAAGTAGCGACAGCCATGGGCCGCACTCTCGATGTGACCCTTCTGATTACTGAGTATTTCCATCACGATGCGATGCAGTGCTTCGGTGAGGTAGTCCACATGCAAAATGTTGCTCTTGTCGATGCGATCAAAGGCCTCGGCCAGCTCCAAGGGTTTGCCACGCTTCTCAATGTACTTGGCCACGATCCTGGGACGCGTGTGGCACATAAACAGAAAATGCCGCAGCTCTGGGTGGAAAAAAGATGGGGTTTTATATAGCCCGCTAGCAGAGTGGCTTTGTCAACTCACCGGTTATGAAGCTGTTGCTTCGGAGTTTGGTGCGGAAATTCATCATTTTGAAGTCGTTGGGAAAATGTGGTGTATTCTCCTCCGGTTCAAACCCAGAGTCGGGGCTTATCTCTGCCTCATCCAGAGCATGGTTGTCACCGCCTCCCTCTGGAACCACTTTCTTTGGGTGCCTTTCCTTGCGTTTCTTTTTCTCTGGTGATGAAGGGCCAACAGAAATTTCCACCTGTTGCCCCTCTTCTGCAGCAGCTACATCATCAGATGTTTCTACCTCATTTACCTCTTCCTTGGTAGACTCTTCTGCTGTGTCGTTCAATTTATTCGCCTTATCCTTCTTTTTCTTTGGCGAGTCGGACTTCTTTGAAATCTTTTTCGGTACAACTACCTCGCTGTCGTCGAGCTGCTGCTCCTCGTTCGTCGCTACATGTTTCCTTTTTCGCTGATTTGGTTGTATGGCCATTTTGACAATGTGTTGACAATACGCTTATCATAAATTCCGGCAATATTCAGCTACGATTCCTTCTATTAAACAAATAAAATTAAGAATTGTTTAAGAAATTTTGCACGGCGCGGCTACACGTGCTGATTTAGTGAGACCCACAGATATACCAAAATATATCATCTCAGTTGAAAAATATACCGAAAATATATAGAAAATATACCAATGAAAACCATATTCCTCGAATTTGATATTCGGCTTAATATTACCAGGTAGTGAACACTCACAGTGCTGAACACATAATTTTATACGAATGATACATTTTTATTGTATAAGAAGGGCTAGTTTTTAGAACTCTCTTTGTTGCGTAAAAACATGGTTGAAACTTAAAAGATCAAAGGAAAATTAAACCAGAAAACATTAGTGGGCATGAAACGCTACGTATGAAACTGAGAGATACAATAAAAAGACGCTAGATCGCTCTGAACGTTTTATGATACTGCGATAAAAAGGCGCCAGATGACGCCTCGATTCAATTTCAAAATTTTGTTTTAAATATTCTTTAGTTCACAATTAAGTTAGTTTTAAGAAAACAAATAATCTATTTAAAGTAAAAATACAGTTGGTCCTTAGAACTGAGCGTTACAGCGAGAGTCGCGTGCCGCATGGGCATGACTCATGCGAACTTTTTTCCCATTTGGCAGTTTCAACTTTTTTCTTCTACGTAATCGGTTCTACTTTATTGAGTTGTTAATTGGCTAGCTAGTCATCCTCCAGAGCAGCATTCGTAACGCCACTGGGTCCTCCTCCTCCTCTTGTTGGGGCAGATGTGGTGGGTACAGGGAACTCCGGCAGTGTGGAACGCTGCTTGCCCGGTGCCGGGGGAACAGGAGGTAAATCCACAGATTTACTTGTGGCTGTCAATGATTTTCAGTTAGACCTCGTTGTTTATGTTTAATCCGGGGCAGATAAGTGTTTATAACTTACCCAAACAACAACCCATTATTTTTCTCAGTGCTATCCCCTGTAGAGCGTGCAAATTTGTTGAAAGTTCTTTGAACACTGAGCACTAAATCAGGCAAAAATCAAATCGGCTGCCAATTGACTCGGTGTCTGGGTATGGGTACACCTAACGTGCAAACGATTCATGGCTTATTGATAAGCGGTACTTTTATTTTTATTTTCCTTTTGTTTAAAATGTAAAGTGGGTTATTTATGACCGTGGGTACGGCAGCTATCAGCTTGTAGGTCCGTTAGGGCTGTACCGTCACACTAGAAATGAGCTCCGGGGTATGGTTATACCGCACACTGTGGGTCGACTGCAGCCGTATCATTGAGGTGGACGCGACAATTAAGATAAGCGCTTATCGGGGCAAACAGTTTGGTACAATTCTTGGTTGGCGCTTCATTTCAATTATACAATTTATCGAGAAGTGAGTGATGTTCGTGTATCGAATAAAAATGATTAAGCATTGAAGCAAATGTTAATTATAGTTATCTTAATTCCTCGATTTACCATTCATTTGAATATGTTCCTTCTTGGCGGTTCATCTGTCACTCCATTAATTATTTATGTATTATTGTATTCTTTCTTTCAACATGTATATATACAGCCAAATAAAAAACGAGCTTAATTTTAGAAAATTGATTGATCAATCGGATAAAACTATAGTTTCCAAACTAGCTTTTAATATGAATTCGAATATCAACATTTGGGAATATGATTTCCATCGGTTTATTTTGAAAATAAGGCGCTACGTTTTGGTATATTTACTAGGGTCATGCGGTATATTTTAACCATTTTTCCGCGGTCACACTGCATCCAACGTAAATAGCGTAACACGAACAGCTGATTTCTTCTCTCTGTCTCTCCTGCCTTATCTATCCAGCTCACTCGCTCTCTCTCTCGTCCAACGTAAACAGCGTATTTCACGCTTTGATAAAAATGTTTTAAATCAAAAAGTGTTAATTAAAGCCAAAATCAAAATCAATGCGCCTGTGGACGGCGACGGCTCGAGATCGTGCGCGCGAACGAATATTAACACAGCAGTCAAATCAGTCAAACAAAAGAACAGAACAAACAAATATATTGAACAGCAGCGGCGTGCGTGAGTGCGGAGTGGCGAGAGCGAAGTTTGCATATATTTTGTATTTATGTTCTACCTGACATTCGTGAATGTAGCCACAAAGTGAACAAGCCGAGAAATCACGGCCCAAAGCGAATAAACAAGAATCGTAAAAAGAGCGGCCACAAAGCGGAGCATCGTCTGTAAATTAATAAAAACCAAAAATTTGCGTTGTGTCCAAAAAAAAACCAACTGCTGGACAGGCAGCAGCAGCCCCCTTCAACCAAACGAATTAAATCCAAAAGCTGGCTAAACGGCAGCGCCATGGATGATGAGTTCAAGCTCTGCTGGAAGAACTTCCAGGAAAACATTGCCAGCGGTTTCCAGAACCTCTACGATCGCGGGGACCTCGTGGACGTGACCTTGGCCTGCGACGGCAAGCTGCTGCAGGCACACAAGATAGTCCTGGCCATATGCAGTCCCTACTTCCAGGAGATCTTCACCAGCAATCCCTGCCGACATCCCATAAGTGAGTATTCCCAGCAGTCTGACAGATGTAATAAGTTCGTTTCGTGTTTGCCCAAGTTGTTCACACTGCCACCGTTGCTGCTGCTGCCATAGCCTGTGCTCCGTAGTCCGTAGTGCGCTAACAATGCAAAATTATACGCCGGTAAATATACATAAGTGCAAACTATATGTATACCCCTGTGCAGTGAATATGTTAGACATGTCTTAACATCGCCAAATGACGATAGATATTTGTCAATTTTATCACTGATAAAGTACGCACAGTGGGGGGACAATGGTTTCGTCGATTGTCTCTGTCTCTGTCTCTGTCTCTGTCATCTGTGTGGCTCCTGTCCGAGCAGGCAGCACCTATCTATGTATCAGTTTATCTAAAAGCGCCCGTCAGCCTGTCTGTTCGTCACTGTTGTCAAATGCCAGCACCCAGCACGATATAAATCAACTTTTGTATTAAGTTCCGTGACACATTCAACAGTTATCAGACGGCGAAGAGAGGACACAGCACAGAGCCTAGAGCCTGGAGCTCCAACTAATGGTGGGCAGCACGTGTACCAGTTCGAAGGCAAATAAAATGATTTCGCTTGTCATAAATCTAAAGACAAACAAGAGCAGTAGGAGTAGGAGCTACGGAATCGAGGTCTGATAATCCTCCGCTGAGCTATTGCCGCCACGTTGTCTCACCCGGCTGCATGGGCTGCATGCCACTCTCTCGCTCTCCATGTGTGGTAGCTGCAAGAGCCGTGTCTTTGGTGGCTTGTTTGCTTACGCTTCGGATACGCATATGCATTGTGTGTGATAAGAGTCAACACTCCAATCGAAGATTGGGTGCGTTGCTGACCTCATCAAAATGTACTCCAATGGACTCTACTCTAGAATGGTATATGGATATGATATCGCTGACTGACTGCCTACCTCCCCGCTTTGTGGGTGACTCTTTTTCTATTCCATGTTCAATTGTGGACGGACAGAGTCCGTGTTATACACGGCCTGCCCTGTGCTGCACGGTGGCTTTATCTGATCAAGCGGCAATAAAAACTAAGGTTTTATCTTTTCAAGTAGCAGCAGGAAGGTGCTACCTACCAACAAATGGGGTACAAAAGGTATTTCCAAAGATAAAGAATATTAATATACCCTATAAATAATGGTAACGGTAACGGTAACGGTAACGGTAACGGCAGCAAAGCTGTGCGCGAGGGGGTGGATGTTATTAAAAGTAAACCAACCAACAAATAAAGTAACACCAACACCAACAGCAACAGCAACAGCAACAACTACAGCCATCATCATCAAGGTGCTAACAAGCCAAATGTGGTGCGTGTTACACACAAAATACAACACTCGATGGGGCACCACAAGCAGTACCTTCCATCCATACATCCAACAACAATAGTCTAAATATTTTTATCTTTTTATCGCGTTTAACAATCATTTATTGCCCAACTGAGCAACTGGGTCCCCAACCCACACCCAAACCATCCAATCCCCTGGCCACTCGAAGACTCTACCTTTTGAGATATTGATTAGACGACGACGAGCACGGGTGTTGTGATACGCTCTCCGTACGGGCCAAGTGGCCAAGTGGCTGGTCTGCTTGGACGGGTCTGGTTATTATATGTATCTACAACACACAGCTGCTCGCGAAGCTAATCCTCAAATATTATCTATTTCCATGCCGTTTAAGTTTTTATTATTGGCATAAACAACAGCTCGGACATCGGACATTTTCGTTCTGCACCAGACCAGACCCACAGTCCAGACCAGAAACCATGTCGTTTATCAGCCACTTTGCTTTGGGTATCACTCTTAATCGTAAAATAAGATTTTTAACTTATTGCCATTGTGTTAGATAACGCACTCAGGCAAATGGCGAATGGTATGGGTATGGGTCTCGTGTGATATTGGTGGCCTCTCGAGCAGCCATGGAAATAGCCATAGACCCGTCCCCAAAGCAAAGCAAAGCAAAGCACAGTCCAAGCGATGCCACTCCACCTCCCATCCGTGTGCCGATCTTCACTCCCCTCCCCAATCACAATTTCAAGTAGCGTTCGCTTAGCAGCCATAAATGTTTCACTGAAATAATATAATATCGATCGATGGACTTGTCGTAAATATCAAAAATACCCAATGTTATTGTATATTGTAGTGCCCAAAACAGAAGCAAAGACGTGATGTTTATCAGGCCGCCGGGTTCAGAATATTTTTGGAGGGGGAAGTACTTTTAATACCGTTTATCCTTCAGTTTTAAGAAGGCGTGAGAAGTCTAATTACATTTTGGGATCAGCAGAGTCGGTCATCAATCATACATACCACATTTTTGAATTCTTGGGTATTCTCTTATGCAGCATTCGCTCGTGCGGCTCTTTTGAATAGATCAAAATTCATGTTTGAACCTACAAATTCTATGAATTATCGCTAACTTAATTAGGAAATGCTAAAATTCTTAAAAAAGTGACGATATAAAATATCCCTTTATCATTCGTTCAATAATCATCCTTTAGAAATATTTTATAAAGGCCCAGTTGAGATTTTGAAACGCTCTAGGAAATAAATCTGCACAAATATCAATATCCCTTCTTTAAGAGTCTAGAAATGCAGTTCTTATAATAGAAATCGTTAATAAATCCCAACGAAAATGGTGTTACTGATAGTCTTCCATGGATATATTCCTTCCGAAATGAACCTTAACTTTTTGCCTGTACAGAAGATGTTTTTCTGGGATAATCCTTCTATGACTTCCGCTTTGGGCCTTGCCCGTACGACACCCCTTAATTGCCTGCTTGCGTTGTTCTTTTATGATCACATTCATATAATATCAAACTTTGACTTTGAGCATACCAAAATTTGATAAATGGGGCCTTTATGGGGCTTTTGTGTTGACAATTAGTAATTTATTGGTTCCGAAATGGCAGTAGCCGCAAAAAATAGATTGTTTAGTTATCGGCTAAGCTATGTGCTAATCCCTTGTGGGGGTAGCAGGCCCCTCGGAGACACATTCCCATTACAGGGGGAAAAAGTGATACAATATCGCAATGAGTGTGGATTGCGGATCGCGGATCGTAATAGCCCAAGTCCAGGATTGTGCGGAGAGACACTATCCGTACGCCTGGTCATTGTGTGCCGATTGGTTTGGGGTTGGCTGGACTTGTTGTTGGGGCTTCTTATATTTTATCAGGTTGTACTACTACTACCAGTACGACTATTCGACTGCTCGACTATTATGGCGTTTTCAGAGATAACAACTATTTATGAATGTCAAAATGAGGGGCAGCCCACTCCACTCGACTGGTACACTCCAACGGCGAACAACAACAAAATCCTATTGGCGTTCTGATTCGATAAACATTTATCATAATCATAAAATAAAATTGTTTTCGAAATCGATCGCCTGCAATCCGATTGGTGGACGCGTCTACTGTGGGCGGGATCTTGGCCATACATTTGTGGGTGTAGCAAAGTTCTATCGTCCCGATAGAAACGCAAACGAATCGAAACCGAAACCGAAACCGAAACCGAACCCAAAAAGATATCTTTGTCGAGTTGTCGAACCATCAAGCCACCCTGCCCTCGTCGTGATCTATTTATGAGACGGCATCCGTGCTCTGATATCAGCGGAGATCACTCCCGGGGTCAGCTGGCACATAAAAATTCCCCTTGGCGTCGCGCTGTACAACACAGTTGGAGCACTGAAAAGATGCCCGAAATGGACATTTTGGTGTCTGGAATGGTGGATGTGGGGTGTCTTATCAGCAGCATACACGGATTTATCACATTTTCCGTGAACTTTAGACAAAGTTTATCTACAGCTTCGACATACATAAATGGTTTATTGATTCGATGGCAGGCATTGTATAGCCTTGTGGCTGTGATTGTGTCTGTAGATCTCTTTGTCTTTTGATACAGGGCCAATCTCCATCGCTATCGATCCATGGGATGCCCATGAGTATCTCTGTTTGCCCAGAAAACAAAAATCTGTGAATAAACTATAACCGTACAGCACGTAATCCCGTATCTATCTGGCATCAGGAGTCAAGCTCATGTGTAGATCAGATCGGTTTGGGATTACAGACTGTACCTCTCCAAAGCTATAGTCGTATATACATATGTACATCTGTATATATGCCTGGATTTTGATCTTCGCAGTGCGAATGCCGAACGCAAATACGGACATGGCAAAGGCAAAGGCCCAGGCAGTACAGCCATATAGATAGATAGATAGACACGAGACAAAACGATCCGTAATGACGACTACGGCAAATGATAGGGCGCACACTCGATGGCTGCTGCTGCTACAGCTTCTCCGTCACTCCGTCCTCAGATTAAGCAACAGACGGAGAACTGATCGTCGGATTAATACATTCATACAAACATACATTTGTACATACATCCAATGGAATATTGTACGTGGATGTTTGTATATTAAATTGTTATTGAGAACAAGTGATAATATTGTTTTTAACTAGATGTTGATGCTGTGAGTCTGTGCGCACAGTGGTCTGAGACTGCGATTTAATTAAGTGGGGGAAATTTCTAGATGAATGATGGGGGAATTTCTGCCAAAGTGTGTGGGGGTTTCCATTTCATAAATGTGCGTATGCAGATTGAATGAATACAGCCTGGGAAAATTCTAAACGGGGATCGATCACACATGAATGATTTATTTATAAGGCATCTCCAGTAAACAATGAAAGGGTTCTGGATAAGGAAAGAAAGGGGCATCGTCTAGATTCAAGGATCTCTGGATCAGCGACAGCAGGAAATTCAAATTAGAGTAGAGCCAAAAAGAGCTGGAAATCTTGAGAAGGAGCTAAAGGAATCAAGAAAGTTAAGATAATTATCTGAACGAGCTATATGGAAACTAGGAAAATATCAGGGAAGAGTAGAGTTTTCTTGTTGCAGATACTGAGAAATATTCAATTCCATTCACAAAAATTAAAACCTTTCCTACCCAGGAGTAACTCCCTTCGGATATAAACGATCTGCACCACTGTGCCGTGTCCATGTCCGTAGATCGTGGAATCAGTGTCGAATCCCGGACAGCTTCTGCTCCACAGTTCCACAGTTCCATAGGCCGTGTCGAGAGCAGTCCGATGATATGTCATGCTACTTATTTTATAATTACTGCTCTTTTTGCCCCGCTGCCCTCCCTGCTGCTCCAGCTCCCGCTGCTGCTGCTGCTGTTGTTGAGGTTTATATTTAAGTTTTCAGATTTCTTATCGTAGCTGTTTTTATGTATTGATTTAGTATTTGAACGTTTCGATGATAACATCTCCACTATGAATGTGACCTCCTTTCGGTCTGTGGATCATGTCGAATGTTGTTGTCGTTCGGTTGGGAGGGCGGCAACAGGCATATGCGACTTACGAAAATGTTTCCCCAACTTGTGCTTGGGGAATCAATTACGAGAATGTACGCCGAAAAATGTATTAACAAATTCCTCTCTCAACTTGCAGTCATACTCAAAGATGTGAGCTTCAACATAATGCTGGAACTGTTGGAGTTCATGTATCAGGGCGTGGTGAATGTGAAGCACACGGAGCTGCAGTCGTTCATGAAGATTGGACAGCTGCTGCAGATCAAGGGACTGGCCACCAACTCCAATTCCTCGCCGACGTCCAGTGCCTCGGAGAAGTCTGCTAGTCAAGCGCCCAACCACGGTCAGGGGGATGAATCGTCTCTCGGTAATACCCACAACAATAGCCACAGCAGCAACCATCACAACACCAGCAACAGCACCAGCAACACCGCCAACAACAGCAGCAGCAACAACATCACGAATAACAGCAACAGCAGCAGTAACTCCAACAGCAAACCGGATGCGGATCAAAGTGAAGCCAAGGGCCAGAGCACGCAGAGCAACTCGCGGACCACATCGCCAGGCGGTGCCAGCAGAGCCTCCAGTGATGCCAGCCACATGTACGCCCTGAACAAGCGACCAGCCCCGTCGGACTTCAGCAACGATTCCCTATCCATATACTCGGGCAAGCAGCTGCGGCGCTCCATGAAGGAGCACACCGGTGTGGGACAGCACGAGGGCAGCAGCGACCATGCGGATAATGGCGCCAGCCTGGAGAGCCCCCTGAATACGGAGGAGTTCTTCCTGCCACCGATTCCACACCTATCGCTGGGCGAACCCCGATACGACCTGGGCGGACTCAAGCGGGAACAGGATGGACATCATGGACCGGGTGGCGGAGGAAGCGGTGGTAGTCTGAGCTCCTCGGCCTCCTCCTCGACGCCAGTCAATTCCCTTCGCAATCCCTTTGGGCCGGCCTTCAATCTGGACTACAACTTCTACAAGCCGAGCGGCAATCAAGGCGGCCCCAGCGGCAGCTCCAATAATGCAGGACCCGGTCCTAGTGGCATCAGCAACAATGGATCCTCTGGCCTCGGCCCCGGCACCGGCCCTGAATACCCGAATGAGCTCTACATGCCCAATGATTACTCCAAGAACTTTGCCAATCACATGGACATTCCGTCAAGTAGGTCTCCCACGAATCTCCTTTCCGGCTTACTCAATTTATGTTTCACTTTTATGTTGCACGTAGCTTGGCTTTCATTTAATGATTTTGATTTTCATTTTAAGCTTAATACACACATCATCATCAACATCATCATCATCCTCATCATGCATCCCAAGAACTTACCAACCCTTTGATAACACTTCCCCTAAATGAGGGTTCAGCAGGCATCAGGCATCGGGAATGGAAGAACGATTGGAAGGCCTAACGACGGGGAATGGGAATATTTATTTTAGTAGTTATTGAACATTCGACTAGGAATATTTTCCCTCCTCCATCTGTCTGTTAAATGTGCTTGCGGAAAGCATTGATAGATATCTCTTTGTCTGTTTATTTTGAGCTTGAGGTTGGACAGCAAACCGCGGACGTAACTGTTCTGCTGCTCTGCTCTTCCGCTACGCGTACAGTGTTGGCAAACGTGCAAACTCAATGTTTGCAGTCTTCGCACACAATCAAATCGAAAAATGTTATTGTATTTGGCAATCACTGATTTGGAATAACTCTGCCATGAGATTGTGGGTGGTTTTAGTGGCTTCATCGCTTAAGAGCTTCCGATTAACTTTGCAAAATGTAACATATTTGTAGGGCAATCTGCGTATCCTTAGGCCACCATCAATTGCAATAACTCTCCTAACCATGGCTTATTAATCGAACTATATATTATTTGACTCTAACTTTTGGCTTATTAACCGAAACGACGCCTAACCACCAACCCGCACACAGTCCGAACACACACACACGCACTGCCGCTTAGTCCAGGCCTATCGATGATCCCCCACTCCACTCCAATCCCTTCCCTGCCACCACACCACTCTGTAAATAACATCCGTTAAGACGCTCCAGTGAAGAACTGTCCACTAATGTCGTTCCATCATTGTACGTTTGTTTGTTGCCCGCTGCGGACGCTGCAGATGGCAGCAATATGGTGATGCTGTCCACCACCTCGCTGCTCCATGGCAACTGCGTGTTCAATCGCAACAACACGGTGGCCACGCAGCAGGGCATGAAGACGTACTGGCTGTGCAAGTCCTATCGGATCAGCATGTGTCGAGCCCGCTGCATCACCCATCTCGGAAGAATAATCTCCGCCACGGGCGTGCACAACCACACGCCCCATATGCGCGGCAGCCAGGGAGCGGCAGCAGCAGCAGCATCCGCTTCCGCGTCCAGTGGCGGCACTCCACCAGTTACGGTTTCGCTGGCATCTCTTCCGAATCATAATCAGCCCGGCGGCGGCTACTCCATTGCGGATGGGAGTCACATTGGAGCGGAGCTGAACCACAGCGGCGCTCCTGCCAGTAGTCGGTTGGGTGCGGCAGGCAACATGTTCGCCAATCAGACGCCTCCCCCAGCGGCAGCCTCACATCATCACCATCATCTGGGCCAGCCGCTGCCCAACCTGCTGGTGCAGCATCATACAACGGCGACGCATATGGAGCAACACGGCGGCATGGGGAGTGGAGCGCCGCCCTCGAATATCATGCACAATCCCAACCTGATGCATCTGCCCATGCAGCCGCAAGGCCATCACCACCACCACCAACAGCAGCAGCAACAACAACAACAGCAGCACTCTCCACACACGCATCATGCTTCAGGAGCACCGCCAGCGCCTACTTCTCAGCATCATTTGGAGCTGGGAGGAGGACAGGGCGTGCTCCTTTCACCCGCTCATATGCAGCAGAGTCCGCAATCGAATCGAAGCAGCCACTCAATGCATGCACAGGAATCGCCGCTAGGCATGAAGAGTCCGCCCCCACCGCCCGTAGAGGAGCAGCATCAGCAACAACAACAACAGCAGCAGCAGCAGCGAGTGGACATCAGCTCAAGTGCCGATGGGTCAGCGGAGAGTGCCGCCCCGGGGACGGCGCATGTCATCAACTCCATTACGATATCCCCCAGCAGCAGGCACAGCTTCAAGATGGAGAACATGTAAAGGAGCTCCGCTCTTGGAGGAGCTCTCAGCTTTAATGAGAAGTAATTTATTGCGGCTGGAGCCGCGTAGCTAGTGTCTGTAGTAGAAATTGAATTTGATTCGAATCTTCCCACGTGTACATACTGTTTGATGTGTATATCCCGTTTGATAAACTAATTCAAAATGATAAACTAATAGCATTCACCCAGCAGAGGGCGCTGTGGAATGAGTTCCAGATTAACCCGCAACAGCGGGTGCATTAATTTTGGACTTGTTCCACGGCGCTGGGCGTCTATATTGTATGGGTATGCTAAGGGTATGCTCTATCTCCACTAACCCTCTGTTACGACAGGTAAGTCCGATCTGCATGACACCTACACCCACACACACACACTTACATACAATAATTGGGCTCATTCGTGTACGTCCTGGCATCCCAAAAACCATAACCTCAATGAAAGTAAAGAAACGTTTCATGGACCTACCACACATAAAAACACACACACAAAAACACACAGCAGCGTTTCCTCAACTGCAATCTTGTCCTGTATTATAGTCGCACCCGGCGAGCACTGGTTCCAGGGCAAACTGGAGTTCATGCTGAGCCAGCGGGGCAAGCCGCTGCTGGTGCACGACGGCCACACCTTCGGCATTCAGTACGTGCGCAAGGACAAGAAGTACTGGCAATGCAATCTGTCGCGCAAGTTCAACTGCAAGGCCCGCGTGACCACCACGGACACGGGCGAGATAATTGTGACTAACAACGAGCACTGCCACACGGAGATCCGACAGCATCTGCGCAAGGACTACCAGCGCAACAAGGTGATGATGAATGCGTTGATTAACTTGAGCACGAACCGATTCGCCGATCTGCGGCGGCATAATCTAGCGGCATTGGGGGCTCTGCCCATGGTGCCGGGAGGCCTGTCCCAGGGTTCGCCCATAGATGAGGTCGTGCAGAATCTGCACGATCTGGCCAAGGCCTCGGCGGAGGCCAGTCAGCAGCAGCAGCATCGTGCGCACGAGGCCATGAAGCAGGACATGGACGAACCGTTGGACTGCGGGCTGCGCAGTTCGGCGACGCTCGAGGAGATGGCACGCAGCTTCATGGCCAACAAGCCCTCCATTGCCTTCCCAGGACACGAGTCCAGCGGTCACAATATCAATGATTTGACCAAGGATGAGTCGTGGAAGGAGAAGAGCGAGGGCGATGTGCACTAAATATTTTAGTTTCGCTTCCGTTGGTCAGAGCAGCATCTGGCGGAGCGCCATCTGGCGGTATGTAGCAGCACTGCAATGGCGCCATTTGGCGGGTTAGGCTTAAATTCAAAACGCGGACAGTTAAGTACAAAAATGGAATGATTGCAATAATACTCAAATACATTAAAAGACAACATAACCAAACCAATTCCAAAGAATTTAGATAATTAAATACATGTGTAAACGTAAAATTTATTAGTGAATTTCCAGCAAACGCGCATACATGAATTTTTATCGTTTTTATTGTACGTTACGTTAGTTTTACACTGTAAATGTTGAATTTTAATAAATCTTTTTTATAAACATCGACTTTTGTATATCCTAATTAAATATTTATCACGCGACTCAGCTTCTGGATGCGATTGAGCAGCAAATCGCCCTGCTTGATGGTCGCTTGGTACTGCCAGTTCTTGTTGTCCGGGCGATTCGTCTCCACAATGCCGCCAACGCGATCCACCTTGGCATGCAGCCTACCAGCGGCAATGAAGCGTGCCAGCTCCTGATCGATGTAGTCCACAGTGACGCCAAAAGACTCGGCCATGTACTGCAGTGTGAGGGAGCGATAGGACTCCAGCAGCTGGGTGTAGCCTAGGATGCGCATCTCGCGCACGTAGTAGCGGTAGTGAGGATGGATGAGGTAGTCGGAGCGCAGCTGCTTCTCGACCACAGCCAAATGCACGTAAAAATTCTCATACTGACAGTTGTACAGGGAGAAGAGGAACTGCTTGACATCGGACAGGCCGTGCAGCACCTCCTGAATCTCCGAGCCCTTGATGACTTTGTCGCGCAGCTCGTTGCGCGGCAGGGCGATCATCGACACATACACGGTGTAGCGCACAAATGTGGGGTAGTCCATCAGCTCGTACGAGGTGAATGTGCTCACGGTGTCCAGGAAGAATGTGGCTGCCGCCTTGAAGTCGCGCACAGCAACGGAATACACTCCCTGGTATACCTTCAGACGATTGCGGCGGTCCCAGTCGCCACCCTCCTCAATCAGATATTTTGCCTTGTCGATGTTGCGTGTGATTAGGTCGTGATCCAAATAGAACAGCCCCAAGCGGATGAGGTGGAACACGATGTCCAGGCGATGGCCCAACGAGACGGTCTTCTCGTATGTCTTGCGGAAGGCTGTCTCAGCGGAGGCTTTGTCGCCGATGCGGCACAAATACTCCGACTTCTTCAGGTTCGCCTCGCGAACCTCCATTTCGCCGAGATTCTTCTCGGCATCTTCGATGGACGCATCCAGTTGCTCGATCTCCACGCGGTTGTTTTCCTTCATGCGCGCCAGCAGATCCTTGTCCGCAGTCCAGCCCAACTCCGCGCAGATATGTTCGTACCATGGAGCCATATTCTCGGCCCGTATGGCGTCCAAGAGCTTCGTCTTCAGGGCCACATCTTGTTTGTGCTCGGCCAGAGTCAGCAGAAACTTTGTCTGGGCCAGCTCCAGGTTTGGGTTCTTCTCCAAACCCTGCTCTTCGAGGTTTTCAGCTGGCATTCTCTTTATGAATTACTTTCGTTGCGTTTAACACAGACAATTGTTTTGTCGCACGAAAATGTAATTTTTATTTTTTTGTCAAAGCCGCAGAGTCACTGTCAGTAAGACCGCCGTGTTTTTGATGAAATATACCGACAGACCCCTTCGGAAATATACCGAACTATTGGAAAAGTACTTTGACAAGCAGAAAAATACCAAACAAATTCCTGTTGGCTAAAAGGTCTTGTTGCTGGAAGTTCATGACAGTGCTACCCATCCAGGGATAGGAAAAACATTTTCTTTGACGTTGCACGAGTAAAGTAGGCACTGCGAGAACTCAAATATTGTCTTGTCAAATATTGTCTTGACTGGTGAACATCAGGCTGTGAAAATAAATAAAATTAACAGAGAACAAAGTAAGCTGAAAAGAATATTGTCAGCAAATCAGTAAATTATCCAGTTTCCAGTCAAAGAGAAACAAAAACGTAAGTACGAATTGCAATTTTTTGACTGATTCTGCAATGGGTCGGTAAGTAGTAAGAAATATAAGTGAAAATTGAATTTTAATTTCAGAATGTCCGAACGTTTTCGCAAGCGTGGGCGTGAGTCTCCGGAAAGTGTCCCCGCAAAGCGTCTCAGGCAGTACGATGCCACCGAAAATCGTATGGAAACCATTGATATGTTGATGGCCCAAATAGGTGCATTCAATGTAGTTGGCGTCTTGTTGCGCATCCATCAACTGGAATCGTTGATCAGCGAATGCCTGCCCGACGACAAGGACCAGGTGCTGGCTATTCTCAAACGCTATGTGAACCGTCCACCCAGCCACGCCACCAGCTCCTACGCAACCATTGTGGGACTCCTCAACGTCGGCTTTTACCCAGTTATTGCCGAATGCCTCGGCGATTTGGTGCAGGCCCTTCAGAAAGCACTCCTCAAAGGCAAGTGGGAGAAGGCACGCGGCCTGCTGCACTTCTTCACGGAGCTCTACAATTGCAATGTCATCAACGGCTCCTCGATATTGCGCCTGTACCTGTCATTCGCCCTGAATTGTGTGGCAGACGAAATGGATGGCCTTGCTCCGCAGCTGCGCAGCGACTTCTTTGCGTACTGCGTGATCACTGCGCTGCCTCTGATCGGACGCGATCTTCAGCTGAGTGGTGAATCCTTTGATCATTTGATCACCACACTGCACATCTACATGCAGAAGCGCAAGCAGTCCCATGGCGTCCTGCTCAGCATATTCGAGGACACCGACCAGCAGGAGGACTACCTGGACACATTCTGGATGCAGATCATTCATCTACGCCAAAACAACTGGCTGAAGCATGATGGACAGCGTCCATCCATGTATTTTGACATCAAGCTGAGTGCTTCCCTGCAGCACGATCTGCCGGAATTGGAAATGCCGGAGGTTAATCTGGTGCTCGAGTACCCGCGCCCCTGGGTGGTATTCCGCATCTTCGACATCGAATACCTGGACATAGAATTAGATCGCTACCATCTCGAGTGCGAAATCCTGGAGATGTTCCAGCAAGCCTGCATGGATCGTAGGGTCTGCGCCGACAGTCTAGTGACTTTAATCGATCGAAATTCCGGCGGGCTTGCCGCTCACTGCGTCGTGGAGGTCATCCTCGGACAGATGCTGGCGCTGCCCAAGTCGCCGCAGATCACCTTGGCCTACGGCAGCGTCCTGGTGGAGATGTGCAAGCGTCGTCCCAACCTTATGCACAAGGTGATTGCCGAGGCCACGCTGGTTTTCATCAGTAAGATGAGCTCCTTGCGTGTGGCCTGCTTCGATCGGCTGGTTAACTGGCTCTCCCACTACATGAGTAACTTTTTCTTCGCCGCGGGCTGGGAGCATTGGGAGCCTTTCTTCACGGACTCTAGTATCGATTGCGAGCTCAATCCCCTAGCGATTTTCATGCGGGAACTGCTCAAGAAATGCTTTAGGTACAATAACCACAATTAAGTGCGACAAATTCTATGGCTTCTCCCCCCAACAGATTGGGCTACCACAAAGCTATACGCGACACCGTGCCGGTCTCGCTGCACAAGTACATGCCGCCAGTCCCGAATGCTCTCGTTCCGTATTTCGATAACGGGACTCCCACCGGCCAGCTGGCCCAAGAATTAAACAAAGAGTTGGGCATGAAGCGCACAAACCCACAGGTGATCGAGGAAATACTGGCACGCAGCGAGTTGGACAAGCAGCCCAAGATTCACGTGTTGATCACGTGTGTCCTACGCATGGGCTGCGCCTCATTCACCCACACATTGGCCGCCCTGAAAATCATGAAGACTGTGCTCTCGGTAAGCCTTTGTGTTCGATTTGGTTCAGCACTGTCACTGAAGTTTGTAATTTTTCAGAATTTAGTCACCAACGAGGAGGACAGCCACTCCATCCTGTCCGGACTCTTCGAGCTGTGGGTCAACAACGAACAGTTCCAGTACGTGGTGGCCGAGAAACTGCTGAGAATGAATATCGTCCAGGCCAAGTACATAGTGTCTTGGATCTTTACTCCGAGGCTGAAAAAAGATCTGACCAAAATGTATTTGTGGGAGCTGCTGTACGCGGTTATGCGCCACATCAAGAATCCCGAGCGGGGGCCAATCGTTCCAGACGATGAAAGTGACTTCTGCTTCAAGCATCTCATGCTGGATGCTGTTCTTCGCATTGTCAAGGCCCTGAATGTTTCTTTCGAGGAAAACAAGTTAGCCGCTCGCCATCTGGACGATGATTATTGGTTCAAGTGGATGCTGGGCAGACTTGAGGACTTGCTGTTCGTTCACTTCAACGATTTGAACAAAATCAAGAGTAGACTCATCAAAATGTGTAACGGTCCGAATATGTGCGAGCCCGTCGTCAAGATTATTCAACGTTTCCTCGCCCTCTGCTTGAAATCACAACCCGAGCCTAATACATCTCCATAATGTTTATGGTTCCTCCCTTTTCATCTTGCACTGCAGTATTAAAATCAATTTGTACTCATGATTTTCGAACTTTTGCAATGTAATTGCATTAGTTTAAATGAATTAAATCTTAAATTTTAATTAGTTAGTCACTTCGGCCAGTATATTATACTTTTGGTATATTTAAACAAGTTAAGGTATATTTTGGTATATTTCTTAATTCTAATTCCGCGGTCACACTGAAAAGGGGAGTGAAATTGATTTTCTGATAAAAATTTTCGCTTGCATCTCCTGAATCCTTTGGGAAAAACTTAGCATAAAGGTTATCTGGCCAGACTTCCCAGCAGGCAACAGCGCACAAAATGATTGGTGGTTTGTTCGTGTACAACCACAAGGGTGAGGTTTTGATCTCGCGAGTTTATCGCGATGACATCGGACGCAATGCCGTGGACGCCTTTAGGGTCAACGTCATCCATGCCCGCCAGCAGGTGCGATCGCCGGTGACCAACATTGCGAGGACGAGCTTCTTCCACATCAAGGTATACACATGCCACGTCCACCGGATGTACCAACACTACCTACTAATCATTCACATGAATCTTGCAGCGTGCCAACATTTGGCTGGCGGCGGTCACCAAACAAAATGTCAACGCTGCGATGGTGTTCGAGTTCTTGCTGAAGATCATCGAGGTGATGCAATCGTACTTCGGCAAGATATCCGAGGAGAACATCAAGAACAACTTTGTGCTCATCTACGAGCTGCTGGACGAGATTCTGGACTTTGGCTATCCCCAGAATACGGATTCGGGCACTCTGAAGACATTCATTACGCAGCAGGGCATCAAGTCGGCTACCAAGGAGGAGCAGATGCAGATCACCTCCCAGGTGACCGGACAGATTGGCTGGCGCCGCGAGGGCATCAAATATCGACGCAACGAACTATTCCTGGACGTGCTCGAGTATGTCAATCTGTTGATGAGTCCCCAAGGCCAGGTTCTGTCTGCTCATGTGGCCGGCAAAGTAGTAATGAAGTCTTATTTGTCGGGTAAGTATTTGAACACTAGCAATGAGGCCTTTTTATCATGGTAATCCCTGTCTTAGGCATGCCCGAATGCAAGTTTGGCATCAACGACAAGATCGTAATGGAGTCGAAGGGGCGAGGCCTCTCGGGCAACACCGAGGCAGAAACCTCGCGATCTGGCAAGCCAGTGGTCGTCATTGACGATTGCCAATTCCATCAGTGCGTCAAACTGAGCAAATTCGAGACGGAGCACTCCATCAGCTTTATCCCGCCGGACGGTGAATTTGAGCTGATGAGGTATCGCACCACCAAAGACATTTCGTTGCCATTCCGTGTTATTCCGCTGGTGCGGGAGGTGGGACGCACCAAGATGGAGGTGAAGGTGGTCCTCAAGTCCAACTTTAAGCCCTCGCTGCTGGGCCAGAAGATTGAGGTGAAAATACCCACGCCTCTGAACACCTCTGGCGTGCAGTTGATCTGCCTCAAGGGCAAGGCCAAGTACAAGGCCTCCGAGAACGCCATTGTGTGGAAGATCAAGCGAATGGCGGGCATGAAGGAGACGCAGCTGTCGGCCGAGATAGAGCTGCTCGAAACCGACACCAAGAAAAAATGGACCCGACCACCGATTTCCATGAATTTCGAGGTGCCCTTCGCGCCATCCGGCTTCAAGGTTCGCTATCTGAAGGTGTTCGAGCCGAAGCTAAACTACTCGGACCACGACGTGGTCAAATGGGTGCGCTACATCGGGCGCAGCGGCCTCTACGAGACCAGATGCTAGACAATCAGCCAATCTTGGAGCAAGAGTATCACAGTTGAATTCAAATGAAGAGAAAGGAAAGCGTATAATCGTCCCTCATTGGTATTTCCTCAATCAAATTGAACAAGCAGTTAATGTATTCCAAAATTAGTTCCAGCAAGACGGCGGGCATCCAAGTAGTGGGCGCCCCCCCACCACCATACATACATATATCGTAATATCGTATACTGCCGCCGCAGCCTCAACTATGCGGGCGAGAAGTGCTGTGCTGTGCTCCCTATACACATACCATTATTATCTACTATTATTTACCATTACTATTTAATTGTAAACTATGTTGTTTTTTATATGCGCGGCGGGGCGCTACTCAAATCTCACGCTCACGTTTCCACAACTATTGATTATTATTTGTATTAACCGTATTATATATATATATATATACAGATATAATATATATTTATACTTTCTTCATTGTGCAAAGAACAAAGGCGAACGATGCAACTAAATGTATTTAGTAGACCAACTCTATCTCTCTCTCTCTCTCTGTCAGCGCTATACAAATATTGATATTCAAGTGTTAATAATATTCGAATTGTTTAATAAATAGCATGATATACAAATATATAACAAATGTGATTGGATTAAGACTTCAAAGAAGGTTATAGTTTAGCATCAACTATTAAAAATGTATTCAACTGCTTTCATCCGAGGCTGGAATGAAGCATATGCCACTTAGGATTACTCTAATATAATCGAAATACGAATATTCTAGGAGCATGCTAATTCAAATATGATGTACAACTCATCATAAAAGTTGAATGTAGCCACGAGTCAACTTTTAAAGCTTCACTTTAATATTCCCTCCCTAAGTTCTCCCTTCAGCTATCGTGCATAAATATCTCTACACTCCACGAATGACTCATTTTCGACAAGCGTTTTAATGTTGTAAATAACACAGTCTAGTGTAGTGATAAAAAGTTACTAAAAAATGCCAAAAAAAAAACATTAGATTAGAGTGAGCTTTGTTATCGTTGTCAGAACTTTGCATAATTTTCCACAGATATGAAATCAAATGAGTTTTGAGTACTGACTTATCAGTTTGCCTCCAGACAAGAGCTATTGAAATACTCGATGAGCAAAGTTCATTTTGGTTAAACTAACAGTTTCAGTTGTTGCTATCCTATCAACGAGGAGGAACCTTGACAGTTTTCAACATCTAGATATTAATTAATTGGACTGGAAATTTTTAAATTAGTCAAAGGCTTCCGGCACGCTCTTCTCCTCAGCGATAGCTCAAGGGAAGCTTTCCAACTTATCGCCCAGCCGACTTGGTCATCAGCGATAAGAAGCAAAAGAGGTAGCGTCATTGCCGTGATTTCGTTAGCGGGTTGCACGGACACGTAACTCTAATGGAAGACATAGTTCCCGATGTTTTGGATAGCGTGCCCAAGGGCACGCTGCAAGTGATGTATGCAGGAAGGCACTTTGTGGAGCAGGGCAACGAGTTGACCCCCACTCAGGTGAAGGATGAGCCGCATGTGACCTGGGTGAGCCCCGAGAGCGAGGGCCGCGAAACCCTGCTTACCCTGCTCATGGTGGACCCAGATGCTCCTAGTCGCGTGGATCCTACATACCGTGAGATTCTGCACTGGGCCGTGGTCAATATTCCGGGAGATGACCCACGCGCTGGGTACGCTCTTGCGGAGTACATGGGCGCGGGTCCGCCGCTGAACACTGGACTACACCGATACATATTCCTGCTCTACCGTCAGAGCCGCAAGATTGAGGAGACAGAGAGTACACCCAAAAAGTAAGGGATCGCAGATCATAAGAAATCATTCCTAATCTCTATCTCTTTGCAGCATTCGCAAGGGACGCCTGAACTTTAACGCCAGGGACTTTGCATCCAAGCACCAATTGGGAAGTCCAATTGCGGCTAACTATTTCCAAGCACAGTACGATGACTATGTGCCCATTCGCAATAAAACGTTCACCGGCTAGTCGTTCTTGTTTTGCTTTTTTTCAATATCTTGCTAAGTGATGCATTCCCTGTGCCGGCTGAATAAATTGTACCCAATCGCTTATCGCAAGTTATCGCTACGTGAAGCTATCTATCGGTCGGAATTAGGCGAAAAGTGCACGCAACTGATTACAGGTTCTTGGCAGCGTAGCGATAAAAGGCGCACAGCTAGGCCACTTTCCCCAGAGTCACTGTCTTCACGCCAGATCGAACACATCCAATCAGCTAACATGGACACCGCCGGCATTATTCCAGACATCATCGACGTCAAGCCTAAGGCTAAGGCTACCATCACCTATCCCTCCGGGGCTCAGGTGGATTTGGGCAAGGAGCTGACTCCCACACAGGTGAAGGATGAGCCCACCGTCGTCTATGACGCCGAAGCTGGCTCTCTGTACACCCTGCTCCTGGTTGATCCCGATGCACCCAGCCGCGAGGATCCCAAGTTCCGCGAGATTCTCCACTGGGCCGTGATCAACATTCCCGGCAGCAATGTCTCCCAGGGCCAGGTCATCGCCGAGTACATTGGCGCTGGTCCCCGCGAGGGATCCGGTCTCCACCGCTACGTCTTCTTTGTGTTCAAGCAGAACGAGAAGATCGTTTCCGACAAATTCATCAACAAGACGTGAGTACAATCTTAGGTGCTCCCTGGAACATCCATTTGATTGTCTTTCCCTTTTCCTTGAATAATGCAGAACTCGCGAGGGCCGCGTCAGTGTCAAGGTCCGTGACTACATCACCAAGTACAACTTTGGTGCTCCCGTTGCCGGCAACTTCTTCCAGGCCAAGTACGATGACTACGTGCAAACCCTCATTGCTCAGGTCAAGTAAACAAAGCCACCAACCAAGTCCAGCATTCTGTGAAATAATAAATATTGTAACGTATTTAATGTAAAGCATAAACTCTTACCCCTTTTTTTTACTGTCGGGAGGGAGTTGAAGTCAATCGAAATGATCAGTTGTGGCTCCAGCCTCAAGAGACTCTGAAAAGTCCGATATTCATGCACACAACTGGAACTTTGCTTTCCCTTTCATGATACTTTGTTTATTAGTTAATAGATACGAAATAATTATCAATTACTTGGTTTGTTTTGCCTTTGCCCCATGATTCATGGCAGAAAATAACATTCGATTGTCATTCTTTTGGTCATTTCAAGCCTTTTTGTTGAAGAACTCCGCCACTAGTTTGTTGAATTCATCCGCGTAGCGCAGATGAATGTTGTGTTTGCCCTCGGGAAACTCATAGTACTCCGCCTGAGGCAAACGCTTCTTTAGCCAGGGTACATGTTCGACTGCTATCATGGGATCCTTCTTGCCGTGCAGTATGAATGTGGGAGCCTTCACCTGCTCCACTTCGGAGCGACAGAAGTCGCCGTCTCTTTGGTCGTAGAAGGAACACGCGGCATCCACCCACTCGGCCCAGAGTTGAGCGAAACGCTCCACGCCATACACTTTCTCCATGGGCTCCCGCATGCGTGGCGACCACTTGGCCACGTCCCGTATGTTGCGCAGAGACTTGACTTCCTCCTCGTTGAGGTAGGCGCCAGCGCCCCAAATGGCAAGTCTCTCGACAGCCTCGGCATGACGACCGGCAACAATCAGCGCTGTGATGCCGCCATCACTCCAACCGAGAATGGAGAACTTTGGCCTGTCCAGGGCCCGCATCAAGTCCACGGCTGCCTGAGCATCCTTCTGAAAGAACTCCAGCCCAAACCGGCGCTGGGGAGGCACAGATTTACCGTAGCCGGGTGGATCCCAGGCGATGATAGTGTGCTCCGGCAGAAGCTTTGGCAGCTGCTCGATCTGAGGCTTAAAGTCTGTCCAGGCCGAGCCCAAGGCCCCGGGCATCAGCAGCAGACTTCGGGGACCGCTGCCACACTCCACAATATGCAAATCAATGCCTTGGACATTTACTTTGCGCTCCGTGTGGGCGGCACGACAGAGGCGAGGTGCCAGTCGTCCCAGTCGGCTCAGCATTATGCAACGCGCAGCGGACGTGACACTCCAGTATGGCAACAAACTAGTCGCTAGTCGTTTCGCTTGTTTGGAGTGCACTCCAATGTATTGAGATTTGATTTGCTTGTCTTGTGCAAATCCTTAGCTGTTTGGAGAGCGCTGGGAAGTTGTATTTGATTTTTTATTTGTAATTTCTGATAAGAGCCAGCTGGAAGTGCAATGGCCGATAAGTGCCAATCGATCGCTGGAAACAGCTGGGCGCACAACTCTGCGAGAGCGTGGCAACTCTACGTTGGCGCGCAAGTCAAAAGCTTTGCCCATTCTGCCGGAGAGCGTTCGCTTCGTTTCGAACGTCACAGCAGCGAAGGACAATGGACAGCATGTGTTGGCATTCGCAGCTCTCCTCCTGTCCGTTCGGGAGCGTGTTTGACAAAATTATTAAAAACTAAATGCATGGGAGTGCGTGGTGTCCTGCCCCTGGTGTAATGTTTAGTGCGTGATGTTGATTGTCGCGTCCCCAAGTTAATAATCTCGAGTGACGTGAATTTATGGTAGCGTTGGCCTTGCAATTGTACACTCGTTTACCCTAACTGCCGCCCACACAGACAGAGCAGAGGACGAGACAGGACGCGCTACAATTTTCATGGAAAATGCAAATCGAATTTGACACCGAGTTGTCGAAGTTGCGTAGTAAATGTCAAGGAATTTACACGGGTCGTCTTCATGTGTGGGTGTCTTGTGTGGGGGTGTTACACACGAAAATACATACATACACACAATGCATGTGAACCAACACACAAACGGAGCCCTATGTGTCCGTGTCCCTTCTAATACGCTTTGAGTGGTGCAGGTTATGAACCTGCGTATTACGCATGTGTGAGTGGGCCGCATTTGTGTGTGTATCTGTGTGACTGCGTGTGTGTGTGCGTGACTGTGGATATTTGTGTGTTAGTAGTACGCATATGCATGCCTCGTGCGAAGTAAGCGAGCTTTTAATTTTTGGCATTCCCATGCGCTACACTCCAGCACTGAGGTCCTTTTCTTAGCATACATTTTGGGATATTAATTTATATTAATAAATAACTCAACTATTTATAGGAAACTTGAACAATTTTGTGTTTAAATAAAGCAAAAATGGGACATAACTTCAAATTTGGAGGTACACTGAACCGCCAAAAGTGAGTCGGTTAGACCGAACCGAAGGCTTTTCGTGAATAAGCTGGCGAAGCTTTCGTTATCCATTGGAAACAGTGCGAAGAAATTGAGTTTGGAATTGCAGTTCAGTCTTGTCGTGGATGCAGTGCGGATCGATATCAAAACCAAGAGCAGCGGAAGGCGCTGCGGAACAAATTTCGACACACCAAATTTTTGTACCCCACACAGTTGAACCAAAAAATCTGCAGAAAATTCAAACGGCAACGCGTAGCCATCAAATCGGGAATACAAAAGGGAGTTACATAAATAGAAAAAGGAATAAACTGGTGGAAAAAGTGCAAAAGTTAAAGAAATAAACACCACCAATTGGTAAAATTGTGTAAGATAAAATCAAAGTGACTCGATAATCCGTACCCCCGAATCAAATCAATAGTCCCCCCAATCAATACTTATAAATAATTAATTGCTGTGCCTGTGCTTAATCGAGAGCTGGTCGACCGTTTGGGTCAGTGAAAAAGAGGCTCGCTGTGCTGTCACATAGGAAAATTTTCGCGTACAACTCTCGACATGCAGTGAAAATTTTTTCCGATTTTTAGTATGTACATGTACGTTGACACGCTCGTGGGCGCCCCAGCAGCATCGGAGGGCAGGGGTTTCCGGCGAGCTTTCGGCCCCACCACCAACACCACCAGCAACCCCACAGCCGCAGCCACAACCACCCCCATCAGCCCCATTCGTGGTCAGCCAACGGGCTGCTGCTGCTAACGGTACTGTGACACGATACAAAATCGGCCAACGGCTGCGAAATGTGCGCGTTAGGAATCAATTTGCCAAACATTATGCAAATCAAGTGTACAAAATGCCAAAAACTCAAAGAGTTCCCCAATAAGCATCACGAAATCAGTCGAAATTAAAAAATACTACCCGTGATAACAGTTGGCCTAACAGTGGTCAGAGTTTAACAGTGACAGTAGCAGAGCAATAACAGCCGCAACCAACCTCGCACCGCTGAGCTTTCACTCTCTCGCGCCGCGCGCTCGCTCTTTCAATGAAAGTTGGAAGCGCGGATAAAATTCCAGAGTATAGTAATATTGTGAACACGACAGCACAGAACACGACACCCATACAAGGACGCGCGAAAAGCTCCCGCTCAAGGACTGGAATACGTACACGCATCGGAGCAGAGCACACAAGGCGACATTTTACGTTTTACGCGCGCAACGTACGTATATCAGCGTGTGCACCAGTGTGCGTGTGCGTGTGAATGAAGGCGCCAAGTGCAACATATCAGCCCCAGTCCCAGTCTCAATCCCAGCCCCATCTCCAATATGCACGCGCTCCAATGACAGCCAGGCACATTGAGAGCGACCACACCATGGACAAGGATCAGCATCAGACTGCAGCTGAGATGCTGCACAGTCCGCGACTCGAGGCACCAGCCGCAAACAGCTCCTCCTGCCCAAGCGCTGACTTGCTGTTCAACAAGGCACGGCGCCGCCGAAGAGACCCCCTGCCAGAGCGCAGCCTGCCGACTCATTGTGCCCCGCTGGTCGTGGAGTATCGACGCTCCTACCGCGTACTGATTGTCACCGCCTTGCTGGTGAGCCTAGCGGCCAGCTTTGTGACCATCAGCGCTGGCTTCCAGCTGGACGGTTCGCAGAGCTCGTTCTACACCTTCAGGAAGTGGTACACCGGCCTGAACGGCACCCTCGAGCTGGAGTTCAAGACGGAGCAGCCCAATGGCCTGGTCCTCTACACCGATGATGGCGGCACCTACGACTTCTTCGAGCTGAAACTTGTCGAGGGAGCGCTCCGCCTGCGCTACAACCTTGGCGGCGGTGCCCAGATCATCACCGTGGGCCGCGAGCTCCACGACGGGCACTGGCACAAGGTCCAGGTGCTGCGCAACGACGACCAGACCTCGCTGATTGTCGACGGCGTCTCGCAGCAGCGCTCCAC